GGAAGGGGAAGGGGAAGGGGAAGGGGAAGGGGGAAGGATAGAACTTGGTGGTTTTTAATGCTTCCTCAGATTTAAAAACAGGATAGCATTACATGGCACCTGGTAACCTTGTACTTTTGAAAACCTGCTTCAGTCACTGCCCTTTCTTTGCAGAGAGAAGTGTCCTTAACACTTAAAGGAAATAAACTGCTCATTTACGCTATGTAAAAAAAGTGTTCCTTTTCCATAGTCCTTCAATGGTTGATCATTAAGAGTTTCTGCGGTGCTTAAATACCTACTGTATAGCTACAGCTATCTGAACAGCCTCCACTGTACAGCAGCCCTAGTTAAGGGGGCAGCCGTTTCCAACTGCTCCGGTTTCAAAAGAATCTCAGATCGGGGCCATTTGGGAAAACCCAATGGCAGCTGCCCCTTTACTTCTCCTCCCTCTCCCAAGTTTAATTGATTCTTGAATTATGACCATTAGAAAACTGCCAGGTTGAGAGTAGGTGTAAGGTTGCCCAAGGCAGGCCCTAACTTGCAAAAAAAATTTCCCCAAGCCTTGTACACAGCTACGAATTAAGCCTTGACCGTAACTTGGGAATGGTTGCCACTACAGGCAGTGAACGGTGGCTGAGCAAAGCTGATTTGGAGCTTATTTCTTCCTCTTAATTCAAATCCAGCACCTTCTTTTCCTACCTGTCTTCCTGTGCGATGGACTTCTCACCTTCCCTTTCATTCAGTCACTGGGCAGGTCCATGTTCACCTTCTCTGCATTCCTTCTCTTCTTGCCAACATAATTCTGATTAGTGGGGGAGAAATGGTGACCCGAAAGATGATCAATCACCAGCGGCCCTAGCCCTAATTAGGAGCCATCCCTACATCTTGTAATTATCAATTCCATAATTACGTTAGAGGCGGCTTAATGGTAAGCGCAGATGGGAGAAGGAGGACAATATATTCCTCTACAAATCTAAGGAGAGTTCTGCGAGATGTGTTCTTAAGATGGTTTCTTTCAATGTTCTTTTTCAGAGGTGGATTATCTATGTTAACAAAGGTGACCACGGATTCGACAACAAAGGCATGGATATGAAGACCATCTTTAGAGCTTTTGGTCCCGATTTCAAGAAGGGATATTTAGCAGAACCTTTTGACAGCATCCACATTTATCCTCTGATGTGCAAGCTCCTAGAAGTCCAGCCAGAACTGAACAATGGTTCTCTGGCATTTACTGAAGACATGCTCAGTTTGGCAGCATCAGGCAAGTGCCTTATGCCTGTCTTAGGTTTTGGAACGATAAGTCTCCTCTTTCTCCTGATGTCTATCTAGCTGTGATATAGCATATAATTCATCATCAAAGATAAGCCATGCTTTCTCCTTTGCTTCCTGGAGCATAAAATGGGTGTGTTATGGAAGATCGTGGGTGAGAAACATATGTATCTCCATATTTTTAGAATAAGGGATAGACTACATTAGCAGGCCGATGCTTTACTAGCAGCAAGTCCAAATTCAATTTCCTGGTGAAAGGTCCTTAGGAAAGTAGGAATTGCGCAGAGAAAGGCAATAGGGATGGTCAGGGACTAAAAACAGTCCTTCAAGGAAAGCTGGAAGGAACTGGGCAAGTTTAGCCTCATACAAAGATGCAGACTGGATGTCATAGCACTTTCCTGGTACCTGAAAAGATGCCACACAGAAGGAAGTCACAAGCTATTATCCTAGAACACAAAACATGTAATAGTGGCCTTAATGCAGGCCATCCTAGATTCCTCCCTTCAGACAATCACTCACACCCTGAACATCTTGTGGCTTGACTACTGTAACTTGCTGTTTGTGGGGCTGCCCTTGAAAACTACCCAGAACCTTCAACTGGTCCAGAATTCAGCAGCCAAGGCAGCGATGGGCATGTGTAATGGTATATGGGAAAGACCTTGGAAGACAGGGGGAAGAGATGCTGCCCAGGGAATGGTCAGATAAGAGACCCACAGCTGCATAGTGGGCAGAGCAGGCAGGCACCCCCTGCCCCATACCAGTAAACAGGGAGGAAGAGTATAAGGTGGAAGCGGTGTTAGACTCTGGATGCAGAGGGAAGCAGGTTGAGTATTTGATACACTGGAAAGGCTACCCACAGTCAGAAAGGTCATGGGAGGTAGCAATGGATGTGCACACACCACAACTGGCATACCACTTGCACGACCAGTACCTAACCAACTGTCAGGCCTAGCCCAAGGAACTCCAAGAGACAATGCAAAATCAGTTCAGCTATGTTTA